TCAATTTTTTTTTTTTTTAATAAAAAAAAATAATAAAATAAAAATAAAGTAAAAAAAAAATTATATAAAAAAAAAAAAGAACAATCAAAAAAAAAAAAAAAAAAAAAAAAAAAAAAAAAAAAAAAAAGTGTTCAATAGTCAATAATACGAATAATTAGTCATGATATGATAGATCATCATCTCTAATTAAAATATAAAAATTTTATAATCTCGATGTGTCGAAAATAGAACATAGTTGTGTGATTGGCTTTATTTTAACAAAACTAAATTTTAAGTAAATTTTGTTCAAACTAGAGAATTTCCTTGTTAAATTTTTATATAAGTAATAGAACCCTAACTTAATGACAAGACACTAACTCTAGTCAAACAACGCGAAATTGGAATTTTTTTGGGTGCCCGAGACATTGATTTTGATGGATTCCGACCCGGAATTTTGGGGCTGCCCTGAAAAAATTCGAAATTGCTTTTTTTTTCTGTTAATTAACGGATACCACGCAGAATTTATCTCTGGTTATGACCCAGAATTTTAAGATTGAGAAATGCGATGAACGTAAACAACCACAATACACATAAAAGTCACATCCTTGAAAAATGCTTTCATTTACGAATACAGCTCAGCCTTTCTCAGGATTTCAGCTCTTAATAATGTCTCAGAGACTTCGTCTTTCTCAAGAGTTTTCACCTTTGACCAAGAGTTTCTCCTTCCGTCAGAGATTTCGCCTCTCTCTAGGGGTTTCAGTTTTGTCTTTGGCCAGGGCTTCTACTTTTCGCCGGGATTTCGCCATTTTACCAGGGAGTTTCGTCTCTCGTCTTTCGCCGGGTTTAGGATTCGTCTTTCGCCCTTCACATAAAATGGTTTCGCATAACCTTTATACTCGACAGGCAAGCTCTTTTAATACGAAACCGAAGATTGATAAAGATTGTTTGGTAATATTCTTTACGAAATTATCTAAACCTTTTACATACATTGATTTATTTTATTTTATTTTATTTTTTTAAAAAAAAAGCCTGAATCACCAACGTGGTCTGTGAGATCATTATTGTTACCACCAGTAAAAGATAAGTCAGATCAGAAGTGGCAAGAAGTAAAAATCACACAGCACGAATTTCTAAACTTATTAAAAATGGCAAAATTAAACTTCCCAAATTCATCTAGTAAGAAATCAAATATAGAATTAGAAAATAACGAAATATCTGATCCACAGACAGCATTAAATAAAGATATAAGTATCTTATGTAATTTTGTAAGACATGTACAAAATATTGATGTTTCTAATATAGAACCATTAAAAAGTTTTTGGACTACGGAAATTGAAATCGGATTTAGAAATGATGATGTAGCAAATTGTAGAAACAACGATGTTGATGTGAACGAAAAGGATATGAAAGATTGTGATGGATCTAAACAAGAAAGATTGCTATTAAAGAGCGCAAAAGTCTTGTATGGTAACTATTATGTTGTCAGAAACATTAGTGATTGACTAAAAAGAAATTTACAGGTCAAATATACTTTCAATTGACCCTAAGTTCGTTTTCTTGTGATGATAGATTATAATAAACATTCTTCATGCCGAACCTCTATATATCAAACTTTGTCTATAAATGAATTAAAAGTTCAGAATAGAGATGGTGAAAATTAATTTCACCAATTTTCTCAATCAATTTACCAACAGTAGCAAAATCATTTCACCACTTTAATATATTGTGTGCATAACTATAGTGTGTAAATATCATGGTAAAACTCGGCGCAACATTATTCGAATCAAGGTAGATACAGTTAGTAAAGTTGCTTCTATAATAAATTTAGTAAAGTTATAATTTTTATTTTAAAGATAATTAGTTTAATAGTTACCGTATTTGCGCGAAATAACGCACATGGGCGTTATTTAGAAAATCGCATTCTCTTAAAATAGCATAGTCAATTTCGAAATAACGCCCATGCGCGTCCCGAAATAACGCGCACCCATATATTAACTTTAATAAATCATAATTATACTCACGCACTATTTGAAGGGTATTGGGAAATTTGGTAGAAATTTAACTTTTACTCCGAAATAACGCCCATGCGCGTACTCGAAATAACGCGCTATTTCGCGTAAATACGGTATAACAGCTTAATAGTTGTAATAGATTACTACACTGGCGATCATAAGTAGTGCAACAAAAAAAAATTTTTACTTAGATCATATGAAGGCTTTGCAGTAGAAAGGGCCCCAACTAACATTTTTTTCAAAAGAACTTTTTTTATATAAATCAATTTAAAATAAGGTTAAAATTATTTTTTGCTTAAGACACAAAAGTAATTGTATTAATAAAATTTTGCAATATAGCTCTTTAAAATTTATATTTTCTTATGATTTATTATAAGATTTATAACATAAAAATTGATTTTCCGAAGATCTTTTTTTTTTGGTAGTTTGGGCCTTTTCTACTGCAAAGGCCTCATATGTACAAAAATTAGCAGATTTTGTTTACTATATCGATATGATTATTTATTTTTTCTATGTTAGGCAGAAACCAGAAATAGAACTAATGAAAGGGAGGAACGCACAAACAGCGGAATTGTGTAATTATTTAACGAAAAAAATCTGTGTACCTATGCTATTGACTATAAAAATCCTAAAGGAATAATAACAGAAAATCCCTACGCATAGAATATGTAAAAAAGAGGGCTTGATCATCATAAGGTTTAATACAATAACGATTATTTCACGGAATAATTTAACTTTTATAAAGCGCGTTTTCTCTTACCTTTCCACTTATCCACCCACTTATTCGGGATTTTTTTTTCACAGAGAAACATTAAATACTTTGCAATATCTATTGTCACTTTTGTTTAATATTTTATTGTAATTTGCAAAAAATAATATATATACCGTACTCATACAATTTTACTATCATATAACAAATATGCCAAAGACTCCATCTCGCACTAAGAAACGTCTTTCAGCTTCATATGAAAATGTCAACATTCAAGAACTCATTTCATCCATAAATTTAACATTTCCGCCAACAATAACAGCCAAAGACTTACTTGCGAAAGTTGCTCCCAACGGGTGACCTCCTAATGCATTTATATCTTACAAAATGGTCATCCATCGTGAACTAAAATCACAAGGCTTTAATTATTCAATTCCAATTATTTCAAAGATAGCAAGTTTAAAGTGGAGTTATGAACCAAATTTTGTTAAAAGTCATTATACAAAATTGGCAGATGAAGCTAAACGAGATTACAAGAAGTTGTGTACATTTTTTATTATAGTTTCTGGTCCTAAAAATGAAAAAGAAACTAATTCCCAACAACAAAGTTTTGATATTGAAATCGAGACGGATAATTGCAATACGAGTACTCACGTAAATAATAATATAGGACAAGAATATTACAATAATCTAACATTCGAACAGCAAGAAATGAATCTTCATAATACATTTTTAAACGAATTTTCTGCTCCATATTTTTCAAACGAATCTTATATATTTTTGTATGATGAACCTTTAACACCAACTTCATGACCAGCATTAAATGAATATCTTAACATAGCGATAGCTATGGTGACAGTAATGCTACATACGTACATACGTAGAAACAAGTATGCTGCACGATTGAAGTGCCTTACTGAATATGTAGCATTATTGAAGAATATGTTTGCAATTATATGGAACCCGAATGCAAGTTCTTCTTCAATGTACAAATTATAAATATTGGTTTTTTCTGTTAATACCTCTTATCTATTCAAAATTAGAGAAATTAAATTTAATATTTCAATAATGATTAAAAAATTTATTATATAAATATTGACTTTGAAACAATAAATAAGTAGATATCTGATAGATATTTTAATTAATGCAATGATATAATCTCACATTCTACCCAACTTCTACCAGAATAAAATTAATAATGCTTTTATTTAACTATTTGACCATAATCTTCTGATCATGTTCGTTTTTGAAAAAGGTTTAGAAAAGGAATTCCAACAATCTTTACAAGAATTATATCAATTACTGCATGCACGATATATAGATGACCACCACCTATTAACAATTCTACCAATTTTTGCCATAAACCCTTTAGGTCTAGTGGGTCTTCTCATTCGTTGTACCATATTGTTTATTTGTAAAAAAGTTTTCGTTAATTTATAAAAACAAAGACATACAACAATGATAACATTTGTGAACTGTAAAATTATAAATTACTTTGAAAAGTATTATTTTAAAACATACTTTGTATTATTATTTAATATTAATATTTTTTGATAACAATAAATACAATCGCTATTAACGTTATAGTAGGAATTATTTGTGGAGACCGCGCCAAATAGGGAATGAAAACGTATAGAGTTAATGCATTTAGTAAATATCAGCAAAGATAATGTTCTAGACAATATAAAAAGAATGCATTCCGTCTTTGTAAAACGTGTTTGATTTGACTTCGTACTAAACAGAATAAATATACTTTTATTACTGTCCTTTGATATACCGTTTGTCTTTGACTCAATATACAGAGTCATCGTATCGCATTATTGAGAAATTAATGTTCGACATATGGAACTAAAATATTATTTGCATATAACAAAAGAGATAAGTATATAAAAAAATTTCATAATTTACATTATTAATGTATTTAAACAAGTAAACATTTTTTTATCAATTTCATAAATTAAATGATGAGAATGTTCTATTAAATGTAATATAAAAAATTTTAAACTATATTCTGACAAAATGTTCAGAAGCTATCTAAAGCACTACATATCATTAGCATTTAAAGTTAAAATAAACTCTGTAAATATTGCGAGTAATAAGAGTCTCATCAATCAAAATATCGACATATCGACATTCTTGATAGCAACAAGAAAAGTGATACTCGTAAATATAAAAAAGGGGTAGCGTTGAAATACCCAAGTCAGCAATATATGCGTTGTATAAAACATTTTGTTGTATATTGTTAGAGGGAAATCGTGTTGGAGCCAATGCGCAAGGATTCCCGAAAACGTGACCTAAAACGTGACCGGGATC